AATGATGTATTGCTCTGTAAAAAGAGGTTTCATGCTCAGGCAATTGTTTTCCTTTCTTAAGTGCAACCTATCCCCAAATGTCTCGAGGAGGTGGTAGGCCAAGTGTATGGTATATAAGCATACTGGCAAAAGGCTTGCTTAGAAGTCTCCCTTGCCGAAGGATCAATGGCTGAAAGCACTAGGCATGTCTCTGTAACACTCACAGGTATGACTAAAGTAGATCTGCATGTCCATGATCCTTAAACACACTATTTTAGAACTCCTGGTTACCTCTATGTGGCAAAAATATTGCAAGTCCTTGCCTTCTAAACAAAATTGTCATTACAAACTGAGGTATTTTCTCCATCAAAGAATTTACTGTTTACAGCTGTCCTTCGCATAAAAGGGGAGACAACAATGGATGTTTCATGATTTGGCAGAAATGAGCTTTTAGCAAAGCTATGAATACAGAGAAGTTGACAAGTAGGAGAAATGAGTTGGGGAGGGCACTCTAGAGAAGGATAGATGAGAGCGGAGACTGTCATCCACTGACACTGGGCCTTTGGAGTGTTCTGCAAATCTCAATAGATGCTTGATACTAAAGTTTACCATAGTTCCCATGCAAAAAAAAAAAAATTCTAGACATAAAAAAGAGAGATGTTTTAATCTGAGGACTATTTTTATGGTGATAATTTTGGCAAGAGTGTAAAAACGTGTAACTTTGCTTTTGAAAGTCCACTGGAAATTGTTCTAGTCATGTCCTTGCTGGTCTTTGACAAACGCAGTGAAGCAAATCCGGATGGAAGCTGCACTTTGTTCGAGACGGATTCATGTTCTCAGAAGGCTCAACAAATGCAAACAGAATGTAAAATTTTGGAAAACAAAAAAAGCAAGGTAGCTAGCAGAATTGTCACTCTCAGCAAAAATTATCTTTATCACTCTTTCTGCCTCTGAAAAGAAATGGTGTGAAATGCTCTGTTTGTATTATAATAAATCTGTGCCTTTACTTCTTGAGGAAGAGAGGCGCTTTATGCTTCTGTTCCTGCTAACATTGTTCCGGGCGGCCTGCTGAGATCACAGCTGACCTTGCCTTGACTGGATCTGTCTGTCTCAGATTATACTATCACATGGATGTCTCATGCAGTGAGCTCCCCTTTGCTTATGGTGCTCCTTAGGCCAGTGAACCAAGCTAAAATGATCTGGAGCTCTATTCTGATCTCAAGCTAATGAGAATTGGAAATAATAGAACATTACGAAGGCTCTTGGAAATATAGCAATGAGAGGAAACATAAGTGTTTGCGATGTAACATACTATATCTGAGAGAGAGGATGATCATGTAGATAAAACAGTATGTACTATTATTAAATCACCATTCAGGTTTGAAAACACTTTTCAGTCAGTAAAGAAAATACATGGATAAGAACAAACAGAAGGGGAATGTACTACCCTGTGGAACTCACGATAAATCACATATTACAGTGGGAAAGAGGCTTAGGGGCAGAGCTGGCAGCATGAGTCTATCTATCTGCAGCAAACCAGCACCTCTGGGAAGCTTATGTCCACAGAAGTGCAGCTGTTGCTAAAGACGGTAGGACCTCCATTTGATTCCCTAATCATTTCTCCTTACACCACAGCTCCTACAAAAGGCCTGCGAATGAATGACTGGTGTATATATCTTCCATATTGCCAAGGGAGCTCTGTGTATTCGGTGTCCAAACACCCAGGAACAATTTGAGTTTTCCCGACATAAAAGTGCTTTGTGGATTTAACTGAGTCACAACAGCAGAAATATCACATCCCAGAGGAAATCAATCTTTACCTTTAACAGGTAGGTAGGTAGCTTGACAAGTCACAAAGAAGAAAAATAGTACTGTCCATGAGTCAAGCCTTTGGGATTACTGGGAAAGCTATGTCAGGGCTTTTTCAGGCCTACATGGATTCAACCTTCTGGTGACAGATTTGGCTTCCTTTGCATGGCAACTGAAAGGATAGGTTCCCAAGGCCAAATCATTTTGGACTGAATCTATTTGACAGCCTTTGACCCAACTCCCCAGCCAAGTTAAAATGACACATTCAATGTTATTTGGCATTTGGGTGGGAAGTGACTTTTCTGTTCTGCCAGAGGTCTCTTCTAAATGTCCTATAAGAGGAACAGACTGCAAACAGTAATGACATCTTGTGGTACTTGCTGAATTATTACCCTCTGATTTAGTAGAGAACTGGATGTCAAAGTTCATTACATCTTGCTCCCTCCATGCTGCCGCTCAACTCTGCAAATTAACACTGAAATTTCAGCTACTCTTAAAAGCTGGATACAGCAACATTACAAAGAGTAACTCCCCATGGCCTTGCTGTGGACCCAGTTCACTTTCACTTATTTCAGCTTTGGCACTATCATCTGGATTGTAATAAAATGCTCAGGAGTCTAATGCTTTTCATTAACTGTGTAGGCATCCAAAGCTCCCATAAAGCTGTGTGCTTAACGTAAGCTGTGTGAAGGATTTGCACAGTTCATATTAGCATCTATTATCATGACATTTTACTGATTATCCCATTCCGCCTCCCCACAACCACGTTCTTGTCAATACACTCTCTCCAATGTTCATTCCAGTCTAAGTTACAAGCTTTTCAGGACAAACACCACAGTTTCCTGTCAGTTTGTACAGTCCTTGTCAGCATGGAGTAGCTCATCTTTTATCAGGGATTTTGGGAGTTGACAAAATAGTAGTAATAAATAAGGCTAGCTGGAACAGTTTAGGCATATATCTCCACAGAAGTGATACAAATCTGTTTTTCCTGTTATGTGTTCAGTGGATATCTTTTGGGGCTTGTTGGCTCTTCGGTTTTGTTCTACTGTGACTTCTCAGTTTCTTTTTGTGGACAAAGGTGGCTAAAGCTACTTGCCAAATACAGCCTTTTTTTCTTCTTTTGGGCTACAGAAGGCCTCATAAGTAGATGACTAGTCTATATGCAAGATTTACATACAGCTTTGCTACTTTATGTTACTTTTTCCCAGTTGTGAGGAAAGAGAGAGTAAAAGACTATCACTTACGAAGAATTCAGAGGTGATAGTGAAATCACAGGCTTGTAAGATACAGTGAAACAATGCTGCTGATAGCTGATGGTATAGAACGTGGAGCAGCTGACCAATGCTACTGGTCTCTGCATTTTGAGTAGTTTTGAGTAGTGGGGCATCGTTTTCCTCATTTGCCCCTTTTACTGACACACAGATCATGGTGTTCACACTGGATATCGGAAATAATGTGCTCTGCCTATTTCCTTCACGTTTGCAAAAATTCAAACTGCAAATACAAATTACAAATCCACACTCGCTGGATTCCCTGTAGATGGAGAAAACAGAAATAGATGAAGATAACTATATGGCTCTATGATTTTACAATATCTAATGATAGCTGTATTGATCTAGGTTTTTCCATGGGATGATGCCACCTATTGGACATTCTTAAAAGAGGCAAAGCAGTTCAAAGAAAATAAATTCTTAGTATATACTAATTTTTTCCAGAAAAGCTGGCTAAACTTTTGACTCTTTCATATAGTTCAACAGCTAGATAAAGGCTTCTACTGGGACATCTTGAACTATGATAACTCATTAGAAAACAAGAAAGGATATAGATAGAAAAAAACACTGGCAACACTGACAATCTTCTGGAAAAAGACAATGAAGTTTAGAAAAAAAAGTACAGGTAAAGTTTAACAAGACATTTTCATCCATTTTTCCAGGGGAAATGTGAGTAACTTTTACTTATTTATTTAATACTGAAGTGTGCTGAGGGTGATCAACTTTAATTAACCTTGAACTGCTCTTAGTAACCCAAACTAAACTTAAAAATTTTCTGTTTCGTAATGTAACTTGAGGTACTCTAAGAAATCTTTTTAATATTGGCCTTTCAATGCATTCTCCTGCAATGAAATGTCTCCTGCGCTCTGTCAGATTTTGACGGAATTGTAGAAGCCTCCACAACTACCTGATCCTATGGTGGTGGTGTGTAAAGACTTACAAACTTTTATGTAGTGACATTGAAACTACTTACGAAATTGTAAAACTTCTCAAGGGCTAGGGTATGATTCTGCTAAAGTGGAATTCAGTGTTGAACTCTCATTTATTTTAACAGCACAAACTGAAGCCATAAATAATAGTCAACTTATAAAATAATCACTTTGACTTGATAGGACCGCTCACAACAGCAAGGGAAGCAGGATTTAGGATTTAACAGTTCAAAGATACAATGAAGAAAAATTACTTTTTCAAAGCATATCTAAAATATAAAATATTCTGAATTTTCAAAGCTTTATGTTTATGTCTCTTCCATTTGAAAATACAAATATTTATTTTTATTATTTATAAAAATATTTATTTAAAATATTTATTAATATAGCTGAAGATAAAGAAAATTTGTAGTATGTTCAGTACTGCCTATCACACAATTACATGTTCCTATAGCATAACATTTTTAATAACTCATTCGAGAGCATTTTGATTTAAAAAAGTAGGTGCAGTTTCTGTGTGTGCTGACTTATCCCAGGTTTATTGCTCGTTTTGCAGCGCTGAAAGCACTATAACCAACAGGGAACATACATAAGACTTTCAAGTTTGCATTACCATACTTTTTTAAAAAAAGAATAAATAACTCATTTTCAATTAATTGCATTTACAGAGATATGCACAATTCAAAGTCAGATTACCTAAAATCTCAAAGCCTCTCTTGCATTGGAAGAACAATCAAGTATTTTAATGTCAAGGCACATGAAGTAAATCCGAATAGCTTCTTGGACTTTAAAAGGGCTGTTTGAAATGATTCCCATTCCTTAATACATGTTTATCCCTATTGGTGCTCTTGATATCTTTTTTTCGTTCTCCTTCTTTTTTTCAGATTCTCTTTTATTTTGCTAATATTCTTCTAGACTCTTGAAAAAATGCTTTTGTTCAGCTTGTTCATAATCAATGGTGGCACAAGCCTGTTAATTATTTAACTTCTGTAATATGCCAGTAAACTCAAGACGCTATTGGAACATTTTATTTATAGACACTTTGCAAAGCAATGATCTTAATGAATCCTAATTTTTTATATTTAACTGAGTAAATATGAACATTGTGCAGATGTGTTGCTTTTGCTCTTGTCACTATTATGTCAACAGTCCTTGAGATCAAGTTGGACTTGATATCAAAGTTATTCTAAAACTTGGCACCTCTATATGAAAATCTCTTTCATTTTCCATGTTTGACAGATGGTCTCATTTCCTCCTGATGTTTGAAATATGGTATCCATCTCAGTGTTATCCGGCCTCTTACAAATTGTTTCATTTACAATCTTGACCTCAGCCTGCCTGTAACAGGTTTATTAATACAAAATTCTGCCCACCATGAAGGTCTGTTCAGAGCTTTGCTGCCTTGAAGGATCTCGGCCCACATATTTTTGTATAACTGCAAAATTAAGAAAAAAAAAAGATTAATTTGTACAGAAAATAAAACCAGGAACATTTCTGCAGGTTTATATTATTCGATAAATATTTGGTTCAAATGGGATTGTGACTGAATTTCTAGATAACAAATGTGGTAATTATGCACGAGCTAGAATAAATGCAAAGATAAAGGATAAAACTCCAAACTAGTGTAAACATCAGGTTACCTGTGTAAATCATTTAGACCATTCTTGGTATAAGAACAGTTACCTTTGTATTCTTGTTGTGATTATGTTGTTTTCAATTTGACATCAGTTGTATTATCAAAGGTAGAAATTTAGAGGCAAGGCTAAATTAAGCTAATCTTCATTCTGTCCACACTGAAAACTGTATCTGAAAGCACTCATGTACGTCAATACATTTCTGCCAAGTAACATAACTTCTCTCCCAGATATGAACTTTTTAGTCTGAGAATAAGAAATTCCTCTCTCACAAGCAGATTGTTAATTCATCAGCAATTTTATGAGGGATAAACAGCATTACAGAAATATGAGGGAATGAAAGCAATATCTTCAGCAGTAAGTATGAGTATAGTATAATACAGTAAAAGAGCAGTCAGTGATGTAAAATGGAAAGCCTTTCATCGACATCAAAAGAAGGCTTGGCATTAGATTTCTGTAATTATTTAAATAAATATTGAAATATATTCTTTGAATATATTTACCCCTCGATTATTTGGGCTAGAGCTTACTGAGACTATTTAATCCATTCCAAGTTTGTTTTAATATTGTTGCACATTTTTTAAAATTAATCTGGAAATAAATGTAGTGAAAACTTTACATACTTAAGCTGAGATTGTCAGAGCTTCAGAGAATCACAGAATGGTTGAGGTTGGAAGGGACCTCTGGAGATCATCTAGTCCAACACCCCTGCTCAAGCAGGGTCCTCTAGAGCACATTGCACAGCATCGCCTCCAGGTGGGTTTTGAATATCTCCAGGGAAGGAGACACACAGCCTCTCTGGGCAACCTGTGCCAGTGCTCTGTCACCCTCACAGGAAAGAAGTTTTTCCTCATGTTCAGATGGAACTTCCTGTGGTTCAGTTTGTGCCCATTGCCTCTTGTCCTGTCGCTGGGCACCACGGAGAAGAGACTGGCCTCATCCTCTTGACACCCCCCCTTCAGATACTTATACACGTTGATTAGATCCCCTCTCAGTCTTCTCTTCTCCAGGCTGAACAGGCCCAGCTCCCTCAGCCTTTCTTCATAGGAGAGGTGCTCCAGTCCCCTCATCATCTTTGTAGCCCTCCGCTGGACTCTCTCCAGGAGTGCCATGTCTCTCTTGTACTGGGGAGCCCAGCACTGGGCACAGTACTCCAGCTGAGGCCTCACCAGGGCGGAGCAGAGGGGCAGGATCACCTCCCTCGACCTACTGGCCACACTCTGCCTAATGCAGCCCAGGATCCCATTGGCCTTCTTGGCCACAAGGGCACACTGCTGCCTCATGCTCAACTTGTTGTCCACCAGCACTCCCAGGTCCTTCACGGCAGAGCTGCTTTCCAGCAGGTCAGCCCCCAGCCTGTCCTGCTGCATGGGGGTTATTCCTGCCTAGGTGCAGGACCCTGAAGTTGCCTTTGTTGAACTTCAGGAGGTTCCTCTCCGCCCACCTCTCCAGCCTGTCGAAGTCCCTCTGAATGGCAGCACAGCCTTCTGGTGTGTTAGCCTCTCCCCCCAGTTTAGTATCTTCAGCAAACTTGCTGAGGGTGCACTCTGTCCCTTCACCCAAGTCACTGATGAATATGTTGAACAAGACTAGACCCAGTATTGACCCCTGGGGGACACTGCTAGGTGCAGGCCTCCAACTTCCATGGAGAAATCATGCCCAGACTATTAAAGTTTATTTTAAATAGAATCTGAACTTTTGTTCAGTGCTTAAAGCTGCCTATTACACATTTGGAAACTTTTCTCCTGCTCCAGCTAAGGATCTCTGACTCTAGGCCGAAGCCACCCCACTGCAACACAACATGGATTATCCTGAATTAAATTCATATGCCTGTTTTGCTTTTAAAATCTATTCTACATCACATCATAATTTGTACTAAAATGTTTGCACTGTTTTCCTTTCTCCTCTACATTTCCTTTCCTTTCATATGAAACACAAACTGTCTATAACTCATTCATGAATAAGACGTGTGAAATGGAGAGGAAAGTATGAGACTTAAAATAATCATAGAATTACAGCTATGAGAAAGGTAATGAAAAATTCTGATTGATACAAATATTTAACATATGTAATTAGAAAGAAAGAAAGGTATCCAAATGTAAGTTTTAATGCTGCATTATTTGATAAGCTGCACAGATAGGAACAAACAGAGAAATAAATACAGGCATTCAGGAGACAGGGGGCTTTATCAAACAGTTTCTTTGAGTGAGTGACTGGTAGCCTTTTTCAAATTTCAGCTGCAGGTATTTACACAAGTTGAAAAGCGTGGACTAAAAGGTAGTTTGCAAAACTTGCCTGAATCCTACAGAACATGGATTGGATATCACTGCTTGAAATTACTTTCTCGATATGTGTTTAAATATGACTCTTAATATTTTTACAAGAAACTTAGGAAGTACTTAGAAGGTAAGGAAGTCAGCAATGTTTAGATTCCTATCCACATAACACTCACATTATTCAAGGTCTGTATAGCTATAGGTGAAGTTGGTTGTCTGATGTTTTCAAAAGTCTTAAAATGCAGTGCTGCTCAACTGAAAATAGACAGTTGCTAGAAGAGCTAGCATCACTCTTCTATCACAAGGGATTTTCTAAATAAAGGAAATTCTGTAAGAAAATTAAGCTGTATAGATTTCAGTGATGTATTTGGAAGTCCATCAGTTCTAAAATCCTAACATTAATGAATTAAATAAGTCTCCATGGCTAGTATATTTGTATGAGAAATCAACCTAAATCTTTCGTTACAATTCACAAAGTAAAAGGGGCTAGCCAAATCCATTACATGACAGCTTTATCAGCTGCTGATATGTATCTCCAGCTGATTGCTAGAAAGTATTCTAGGAAAGGATCGCTGTATACATGCCCTGTATCTTATATTTTTGCCCCTAGCATCCACTCATAGTTCCTGTTAGAAACAGAATAAGGGGTGAAAAAGGGCTGTGGCCAATACAGGTGTTCTTACAGATAGTGTTCCTTCTCCCCGAATTCCCTCTGAAGCTTCATTCTCCAAGGCCTCTTTCGTTAATTTAATCCTGAAAAACCCTATAGAAAGGGAAACAAAGTTCCCAGTGATGATTATGGTCCTCTTGTTGAGATGGCTTAAAATGTAGTGCTAGCCCTTCCGTCTTTATCTGTAGATACTGTGTTCGCAAAGTAATCATTTTGTTAGGTCAGTGTCTCTTTAGAAACATCTGTGCTGCTTTCTGTATTGCCTGATCACCATAGAAACAATGGACAATTTTAGACAGCAAGACGCAGATACCACAATATTGAGTACACTTGACTCAGCAGTCCTGTCAAACTTCCTGGCAGTCTCCCCGGGCTCTAGCGATTCGCTACAGGGTCTGTCCACACTAAACAAAACTGCCGTACTGCTAGTCTCTACATAATAGCTATCCCACAGTTTGGCCCTGCTGACTAGAGTTGGTCAGTAAGCAGGAATTTTGGTTCGTTGAGGCTTTAGAGTGAAATACAGCCCTTAAAACATATCAAGAGAACAAAAGCCGAGAGGAACAATGACCTAGAATAGCCAAATCCCTGGTGCACCCACATCCTGAATCCTGCATGTATGTCTGGTTATGGCACCTTGGAAAGGATATGGCAGAACTAGGAAGGATACAAAAAGGGACAACAAGGCTTATCAGAAGAATGAAAAGGCCCCCACAGATATTGAATGGATACAGACTGAGAACAGAAAGTACTTTTTCACAGTATTCATACTTAAATTGCGGGACATGCTGTCACAAGGTTTCACAGAAGCCAAAAGGTGGATTCAAAACAGATGAGAAAACTTAATGGAATAGATAACATTGGTGGCTATTAAAAAGGATGATAGAAATACAACCTATGGCTTGAGAAACGTCTTCAACAACCGTCAAAAGCTGAGAAACTACGGGAAGAATATGTCTATATATCATCTGTTTTGTACAATGGTTTGCTTCTGCTATTAGCTATTGTCAGTAACAGAGTATTAAGTGAACTGGATCCAGTGTGGCCATTCTCATGCTCTTGATACAATTCTTGCTTTGTGTGATTTAGACTACACAAACGAATGCCTCTGAATCTTAACAGGGGTGAATTACATATTTATTAAAGCAAGGAGAAGCACTGACAAAACAGAATCTTTCCAATCTATATTAAGATCCCTTGGGTTTCTCTCTTCAGTTTTGGACCAGAATTTTCAAGTAGAACCTGGGACACCTTACTGGGAAATGTGTCATCAAACCAACGTGATTTACGTACAGAGCTTGTATTTCATTGCGTAAGTGATATGACCTTTGAAAGGGAAGGTAGGGGACTCCTTGCATCTTTATGGTTAACAGAGGTGTTCCCAGAGTAAGTCCAGGATTAAATTAGCATGTACAGAGTAATGCTGTACTTTCACTACTACTTAGTAGTAGACCCAAACTACTATATACTGCCTGATTCAATTACAATTGGAAGATATTTCACGACAGGAGATCCTGAGATGGTCAACGCAGAAGAGAGGTACGAGAGTTAAGGACGGGATGCTGGCTTCTGTGATGCTATCATTAATAAAGTAAATAAAGCCAGAGTTTCTTAAAGTCTTTTTCATCATTTCATTTGTGATAATTGGTAAATACATTCTACAGTCCTAACAATCCTTACCCTTGGAGCTCAGGCTTCCTAGGTTGTGAAATATGTATGATGACATGTGCTTACATCAAAGGGTTTCTAGGAGCTTTGATTAACAGGATTTTTAAATACTTTGGGATTGCTAGATGAAAGGTAATGTGCAAGTACCTTTCAATGCTAAGTGAGAAGCTTTGGCTACACAATTGCAAAGTGTTATGAACACACTGGGTGGATGGGATGATTTGAGTGTAATACTAGCTATTACAGAGTTTCCAGTCAAAGAGATTTGCCAGACTCAACTGATCTACTAGCAGAACGACAGCAAACTTGAGCATCAACTTCCTCTGTCCTCCTATATATGTAAAAAAATTCCAAACAGAGCTAATTTTGATGTGGAAACCTGCTGGCTCTAATTTACCTTACAACACGTGACACGTTGCTGGATGTTTGACATGTTGCTGTTGAAAACGTATCAATTTGGTTTTGTCTTGGAAAACACAGGCATCTTTGAATATTTAAGAGATCACTTTCGAACACAACCAAATAATTAAAACGATAGGTCTAACACTACGTGCTCTTTGCTACAGGCTAAAAACCAAGGAGGCATGCTAAGTCACCATGCTGAGGTGCAACTCTACCCTATACATTTCTCTGTTCTGTCACTGTCAAGCTCAATTACTCCAACCCAAATTAAAAATGAAATTATCTACTCATAATTGAAGTTCTTCGAAATTATGCATAGTCCACCGTAGACATACATGTACCTCTAATATTCTCACATATACTTTGCTTTCCTCCATTTGTATGCAAACAGCATGAATATAATCTGCCTTTCCCCAAGGCAAGAGTACAAAAAGCAAAGTGTACATGCTGCTCCTCAATTTTCTTTCACTTGTGGAATCGCAGAGATTCTCTGAGGAAGATAGGAAAGAGGCTGGAATGATAAAAGTGCATTTTATCAAAGCGTCTCCAAGACCTCTTTGTTGGAAAGTTTTCATTGTACTTCGAGCGACTGTCCTTATGCACGTTCCATTCTGGATGATTCCAAAATAATGCCTGCTCCACTTGGAGGTAGGTTTCAAAGTCATAAATGAACAATGCCTAGAGAATAACTTTATTCAATGCAACCTCTATTCCAGAAGCCTCTACAATGACAGCTTGGGAAAGATCTGGTTGGATGTCCACAGAGCTGTTTTGCAAACACCTGGAATAGTCATGTTCCAAAGCATTATTAGATGTGTGAATGAATGAACGCTGATTCTTGATGCATTTACAGGTCTCTTTGACGCTATCCAAGATGTAGGCAGACTGTCTTTGGGCATTTATGTGCATTTTGATCTTCTGAAAGTGAAAATAAATAGCCAAACAGCTTTCCAAAAAGACAGCCCTGGGTGGGCCAAAGGATGCAGTACTCCTTCAGCTCAATCATATGAGGAGATGCTTTAGACTGAAAACAGAGATGCTTTGGGGAGACAACTCTGACGATTAAATTGAAATTCCACAAGTTTGAACTCACCATGAATAGTTTGATTTCCTCTATTAGCTTCTTAGCAATAGCAGGTGAGAAATTTTTCCACGGATAGATGAAACAAGTCTATTGCCATTAGTTCATATGCCAAAAAGGACTAGATTTAGGTCCTACTTTGGAAATTCTCCCTCACATCAGAGAGAATATTTTCGACAAGTTATGATGGATGCTACTTTTCTACTTGTGTGTTTGCAGCTACATGTTAAGTTCCTTTAAAAAGTGAGTAACTGACTAAGATGAGACCTCCTGGAAGATGATGGGAAATATTTATCTCTCTCAGGAAGGAAATGAACTTGCTTACGCAGAGAAAGTTTGAAAAGCTCAAGATATGGCAGGCAAGGACATCTCATAATTTGGCTGACGGTCCACATATCGTGTGGAGAGCGAAAATTATTTAAACACAAAGATTTTAGATGTTCTGAAGTTTCATGCCTGCTACCATGAATTAGGATTGTTTTTACCATGAAGGTGTCATAACAGTGCAGCAGTACATACTCGGAAGTTCAAAATATAAATTAGTTGGAGGAGTCCTGTGGACTTTACTCTGTAACTCTGGCATCATTTTTGACGTCGGTTTTTTTCAGCAGGTACGTATGCATTCAACTAAGTCATAAGATCAGGTTCATAGATTTACCTAAGAATAAAACTTAGAAACTGGCACCTCAATCTTCCTGAGCATGAGAAGTTAAAATTTGTAAAGAGAACTCTCCTTAGAATTCAATGTTCTCCTGAACAGTAAAGACGATCACAAGAAATAACGGTATTACAGGGACATATCTCGATGCCAAGAGATCTACTGAAAGACAATGGCTGAAGAGAATTTTGGCCTTTGCATAGGTCAATGGAATCATGGAGCTTATTGAAAAATGACAGATAATAGAAAAAAACAAACAAAAAGGAAAAACTACATACTAAAATTGTTCCGGAACTAAAGGAAGTGAGATTTTTAAAACACTGTAAACCAAGCATACTGTGAGGGAAACAAATGAAGATGAGGAACAGGAACTTTGCTCTTTATGCCCTTGATGCATATTCACTGTATAAATAATACAAGGATAAAAGGGCTCTTACAGACCTTTATTCCTGAGGTATAAACATAGCAATAGTTGAATGTACATATTAACAAACACTGGAAATAGATTCTATTTTCTTTATTCTTAAATATGTAGTTTTTCTAGTTATAAATGTTTTTTAGAAGAGTCTCAAGATATTATATCTACACATACAGACAGGTACTTCCTCAAAGTCTTTTGCCTTGCACTGGCCTGAGAAAAAAACTGACACACATAAATTCCTTAATTACTTGCACAAGATGAGGACAGACCATATCTAGAGATAAATGTCATATAGCAGTGCTTCCACAACTTACTGCAAAATGTTACTGCCCATGCACTGCTAAAACAGACATTGCTCCAAGAGTGTGAAAGAAAAAAAGATAACATCCTCAGATATTTCAGAGTTATCCTGATGTCCTCCTCTCAGGACTAGAGCTTTTCTACGCTTTCCAGTTAGGAATCAGGATGCCAGCTGACTCCCTTCCAGCACCTACACCTTACTGTTATTCTGAAGAGACCCAGCTTCTCTTCTGCTCCCTAAGGAGCTCACATGCCTCAAAAATCTCGAGGAGACTGTCTCCTCGAGATGGTGCTAAGATCTGCACTCAGATATTCAAGTCCTCTTAGTTTCCTAAGTTGGAAGCTTAAAGAGCCAGGGCTACATTTGAAAATCCTGGTTTCTTTTAAAAAGAACTTGACTGGGGATTAATGTTTGTGATGTATCTCTCAATAAATGCTATTATTATTATTATCATCATCATTATTTGGCTTTGTGTGTGTATAAATTATATTGCAAGCCACGAATCATCAATCCATGACAAGATGCCCTCTGTCATATCCTAGAATCCCCCCTGGATAAACAAAATTCTCTCATAGTCGTGCATTTCTGATATTATTATTTTTAATTGAAACAAGTTTTAAATTTTTCTTTCTCTTATTAATAGTAATATTGTAATAATCTAATGTAATATCTAATCTAGGACATTAGTCATAATGTAACTAGGATTTAGCGCAACAACAATAGGCAACACAGAAACAGAGACATGAGGATTCTTTGTCCTTAAATCAATGGGAATTTTGCCAGTGATTTTACAGAGTCAGAAGTTCACCATAAAAGTAATAATAGCCACCAAATTAGACTTTGATAGGATAGAGGTCCATATACAGCTTTGCAGGCCTGTGATGACATCCATCAAGAAATCTAACACAACGAAATTGGGAATAAGAAGGGCTAGAAAAGATGGAAGCTCTCCAAGGTATTAAGCTACCTACTAAAGAGAGATTACTCCCTAAGGAATCTTAGGAGATGGTATAATTATTTTTTTCAGTTCAGCAGAACAGGTGCCTACAAGAGCAATTAAGAGTAATACTGCATGACTTTCTCACGGAAGCATATCTCCAGCAAATGTAAACTGTCATTGCTCTGCTGACATCAATTTAACTATGGTATTTTGCACTGAAAGAGGGTCTTTCCTTTCTTTCCTAGCTGTAAAGTGTCTTGAATATGTTATGGCCATTTACAAAAACAAACCCTTTCAAGATGATTAGATTTATAAATACTAAAACAGGTTTTAATACCTCTCCGTTAGCTTTGCCAATGGGAGAGTTGAGAATGAAGTCAGGAGGAGCAAAGACATCAACCAAGGCAACGGCATCATCTTTCAACTGTTTAGAAACAAAAGACATACATTTGGCAACTTTTGTAGGTGTCTATGGCTATCTGTGAACTCGAGAGCAGTATTAAATTACTTCCGTATATTACCAGCCACTGGTAACTTAACAGAAAACAACTGTAAGCAGACTAGGTTTATTTTGCCTTTTTTTTTTTTCTCCCAAGATAATTACCAAAAAGAGATTGTATTTTAAATGCTTTCTTTTGTTACTTAGGAGTTTTAAGACACATTTTAACTAAGATGGCACTGTTCACGACATAAAAACACAGATTTAAGAATGTGAAAAGCATAACTTCTAGATTCTTATTTGAAAACGTATCTTACCTGGGAAAAATATGAGCCAGTTTGAAAAGCTTTTGTGTTGAGAAAAAAAACCATGAACTAACAATATAATTAAATACATAGAACTGGAGTAGAGATCTCAAGTATTTGGCTAGTTTTCCAGTAAAAATTGCAAGGCCACAAACGAAAGAGCATCATTTTGTAGAAATATATTGTTTTCCAGTTTTTGGCAAAAAAACTAGGACTATTTTCAGGGTCAATGGGTTATTAGCCTTCTCTTTATATCAAGTTATTTAGAAACAATCAATATAACATTCTGCTAATTTACCCCTTGAAGTACAGAATAACTGACATGTCTCTTTTTTTAGTACTCAAATATTATATCATTATTCTATCACAACAAACAATATTGATGGCTTACCCTGTAGCAAAGCTCCAGAATAGCATTCTGAATAAATCTACCAGCTTGTTCGCCTGAAACATAGCCACCTGCAAATACATTTACAATAAAATGATACAAAGAAACTTAAATCATTTAAAGTTATACTGTTACAAAGGAGTTTATCAGTTCAGTACACAAGAGACTAAATGCTCTTGCACTGACTAGCTTTCATTAATGAGCTGACTGCAAACCCCTTAGTCTAAGACTTTTGGAACCTTCTGCATGAATAAACCACATTACAGCATCTGGCTGTATATTTCCTGTCCTCTCCCGCAAGGGCTGGAGCACACCAAAGCTTGTGAGCACTCCATCCTCTGTGAGCTAGGAGTGAATCTTCTGGGTTAATGTATAGCTTTATACTTCCAAATCCCTGCTCCTGAAAATTCTGCCCAGAATGACTATTTTACATTACACAGGCAATAACAAAATGCTCTAATGTAAATCCTAATTAGGATTCTCTCCTCCTGCCAAGAGACAACGTGGGAAAAAAAAAAAACCCTAATTCTGAAATTAGGACTTTTATAAAGTGACATGCATAATCCATATAAGGAGCTGATCTCACCTTGGTAGAGCACCGCCAGATGTTTACTTAAAGACCAGAGGCCATACAGAGCACTGAGGTTCTTAAGCACAGGCTGCAGAGTAGATGGTACGTTGGGATCATGAGTGTAGTCATGATATCTTTGTAAGACTGTTAGTTCAATGAAAGCAATGGCTAATGATCGACAGTAGTACACCTTAGGAAACAGAAAAGAAGGATACTGAGTAACAAAATACAAGGAATGAATATCCAGCTGGTTCAAAATGGTATTGCTCAAGTGAAGCTGGTGGAGATGTGTCCATTTACATTGGCTGATAACATAGGTTAAGATTCAAAGAAAGTCTAACAAGAAACTACGAGGAAATTTTAACAAGAAACTACGAGGAAATTTTCTACAATGTCCTTGCAAAGGTTAGTCAAAAAATGCCTCATGCAAGTAGAAGAAAGATCCTTATTTTCCACATAGTCCAGTTTGGGTAGTCACACCAGTCCTAAGAGAGGACAGATTCAATGTTTAAAACCTAAGCGGTGCAATTTGGCAGCACCTTGCACCCATACTGCGTGGGTTCAAGTAGCTACATCGCAGAGGAGTCCATGGAAATTCAGGTCTGATGACCTTAGGATGATCAATAACCCATACAACTCTAAGGTGACAAAAGTAGGTTTAGATTTCAATTAATATATAGAATTTTATAAAGGGAATAACATTTTCAGAGGTTCAGTAATCTACTGAAAACTTAGCACAGTCCATTCAATTAATAAAAAAATTAAATCTGATCATGTAAGCGTGACTCGATTAAATACAATGGCCTGCAATATGCTTTGAAAGAACTACCCAGCTAGTCTTTGCCAACTATCTGATCAGAAAGGTAAAAGTCACCACTTACTGTTAACCCAGAGTACAAAATCTTAAATAGTTGTACTGGCACAGGAAGACTTGTCTACCTTGACATGTTTCACCTTTGTTGTATCGTGGCATATGTCATACGATGAAATAGGCTGCTAGGTGAAGACACTCTAGTGGATGAATAAGAGGGGAATATGAAACTCTCTTTTGTGGCTGATTTGTTGCACTACTGTAAACCTGTATTTGCTTTTAACTCATTTGTTTAGTTTGTGCCATTTAGAGTTAGTTAATTAGTTTTCCTTTTTTTTTTTTTTCTAACTTGCATCATCCTTGCATTTAAATCAATTGTGGGATTTAAGAAAGGCATATTGCAAAGATCACTGTCTCTCTCTGTATATAACTGTTCAGTGGCATACTTGATAGCAAGCTTATACGTAAGTATGAACTGGAAAATCCACATCTATTCTCTACAGGCTTAGGAAAGACTTCTTCCCTTACTAGATGGACTTGTTTAAATCAGAATATTGAAATGAGTGTCAGTTCTCTAGTCATAATGAAATAGGTTTCAATATCCCAAATGAAGCATTAAGAATTATTTCTTTATTCTTCTGCCCTTCTGCCTTCTTCCTTCTTCATCTTTGCTTGCACTTCTCTGTTGTTTTAATCAAGTTTCTGGCTGAAGACAAATAGACACTCCTCACTACTGAGGTTTCTAACCTTCTTAGCCGTTGTGAGACATCATAGACAAGTAATACAAAGCACTTCCTCCTTTCTGCTTTGGGATGCCTTCACAGAACTCCCAAACCAAAATAACGTAGGGATAGGCTACGATTCTCTCCCAGATCTTCCACAGCAAGAACAAATACTATACATTCATCAAGCACTGGTCTGACAGAAAAGTTCTTCTTCATGCCCAAAAAGTTTTAAACTTTTAAACAAGTAGTTAAAAGCACCGCTTGTAAATCATTTTCAGATGTTTCTGAGGCATTTATAACAAGAAATCCCCCTGTCCTGAAGACAAATTGCAGGGAGGAAAGAAAACCTAATGACCTAAGGTATTTCAGTACCTGTCTCTGTGGGAGTTGTGCGCCTAAATAACTTTAAAATTTAGCTTAACTGAACACAGAAACAAGGTGAGTAACCTTTAAACTGCTGAGCAAATCACCTCTAACATCCTGGCCCTAGAACCAACCTCCCAAAAGCTGGCCAGTGGATAGGCAATCAGGTTCGAATTTCTTGTACTTCTTATGTTGCATGCAACTAGAGCGCAATTCTTGTCCTGAATTTGACACAGAACAGGGTCTCTACTATGCTGCTTCCACTGTAAACACAGGAAAGGTTTCCTTCATTCTACCACTGGTTTTACACAGACCATAGCCTACTGAAGCCAAGCTGGCTCTTTCTAGGTGCAGAGTTGAATATTCCTTCCTGCAGTTTTTAAATGAGTTTTGCAGATAGGGTCAGCTACATTGGCCATCTTCAGGGAACAGATCTCTCTCCTCAGTGACAAATGCCAAGTGTTCTTTTCTTGGATGTCAGTCAATTTTTCTCATGGAGGTAACAGAAGTGTTTAGGGAGCTTGGGGATACAAACTGAAATTTGGAGTTATGCCATTCCTGGCTGTTAAAGCTCACTGGTGTGAGAGCAGATCTGCTATTTGTAGACTGTCAGCGTTTCCTTTTCAGGTTCCAATGCTGTCAGTCTGATATCTTTCATGAGTAGTTTGCGCTATAGAAATAAGAGATGGAAAAGACCGTTTAGGTCATCTATTTTACCTACCTGCCAGAGCAAGATTCTTTCCTACAGTATGTATTTGGCCACAAGAGCAGATGGAGATGTAATAATCAGATGCTGCTCAAGATTTAACAGTAGGACCTATAGTCTTCAGAAGTTACAGTTTCAAACTTACGCACACCACCCAGCACATGCCTGCACTTTTCTGAAGGGAACTATATCCTGGAAGACTTCTGCTGATCATAACTGTCCTCCTTCTATCATGTTTAATACAACGCACATGGACAGGAACTACATTTTATTAATATGACTTGCTGCTTTATGCTTGAGGAAATTATACTTCATGACATAATGGGATAAAACTAACAGGATCTGGCAAACTTGGATGAAAACACACATAAATAAAACGAGAAAGCTGAGTAAGTGTTACCTGACAGTTGTTTTTTGCCTCAAAATCACTTCGCCCAGACTGCCTCTCCTGGCTCAGCTTTAGATCACTTTCTTGGAGCAGGTAACAAACCAGCCATTTATATGCTGCTAAAGGAACTGCAGAAAAGAGAAGAAAACTGAAATTCTTAGTATTTACATTCATAATGCCAGAAGTCAGATGCAGATTCTACTACGTTCTCAGTTCACATTCCGGAGATGAGAAGTGAAGGTGATAATTAATCAACAAGAAACTTCAGCAAACGACACACAAAACACCATGAATACAGCTGTTATTTCTTGGATAAGATCTTTGTGAGTCAAAAAATGCTGGCCCATTAGTCAACACCAAACCAGCACTCCGGTGAAAATTAAGGGGCGGCACTCTCGGCTTGAGTAAGACCCTTCCTTGAGGCAGAATTCTGGTGATAGAAGGCAGAGCGATAGTCATGTGATAGTCACTTTGCCCGCCCAATACTGTAGTTGCAGTAAGTAACAGCTGGGTATAATAAGATTGTAACTTTCAGTGAAGACGTATCCTGCTTGACCATACACTAGTTCCAACTGACCCCAAGCTGCAAGACCAGGTATATCCATAGCTCAGTTTAAACACAAATATTTTCTGACGCCATCAAATTGTATTAAGTTATTTTCTTTCCTGTTTTAAGGCTTAGGTCTACATGGTTCTGAGTCTCTTCTGAGAATAAAACAAGAACAGAAGATAGTCAACATTTTGTGGACTCATTCCTTCTCAACTGTGAAATGATGCTACATTCTGTCAAGCAGATAACTTCTAACTGAGCAAAGGTGGCTGAATATAATCGAATGTGAATTAACTGCTTTGTATATGTTATGTGTTATACTTTTAGAACAGTCTGGAACTATTAAGGGAAAAGGTACTACAGCTTAAGGACCTTGTACAAATCCTGCTCATCTGTGCCTTAGCTTAAGATTTAATGTAGGGATTTTATTTATGCAACTGTGAGTGTTCACACGCTGCCTGAGTTTAGGCACCTAGTTTAAGAGCCTACCTTCTAAAAAAATACTGCAATAAAGAGATTAAGATATTTTTAAAACTACAATCTGATTCAGTAGGAATTTTAAAAGACGACAAAAAACTTGTTTCGCTATTAGTGTGTGCTTTGAGGGATTTCACTAGCTGGAAAAACAAAATAAAGAAGAAATGCAGTCATTTTGAACTAGTATTTATCTTATTTCAAACTATTCAGATTTTTCCCCATAGCTATTATGGTACTATTCCATAGTACCTCACTTAGTATCTTACTTAGCACTCTGATCGTTATTCAAAGTTCAGGTTTTTTGCAATTATTTGAGCATGGAAGTGGTATTGAATGCCAGGAATCAACCCAACTGCGCCTTATATACTAAGACTGGAGTTTCTTCCCCTTCTCAGTTTCACAGATTCACTTTTGCCCAGTTCCCTGTTTCTATCTCCTCATCTCTTCACTTCTTCATTAATTTTTGCCTCCAAGAGCCAAGCTGGGTTCACAGTAATACAAAAGTGGGAATGGCATGTAACATCTTACTTGATTCGATTATATAACAGAGTAAGCCAAGAAAAGTAAGGTGACTTTTCTTTTGCCATTACTCCTTTTTCTCCATGCAACCAAAAGCAAATCTTAAAGCAGTGGACATACATAAAGCCTTTTCCACATATTCCTAAATCACATGTATGGTTTCTTAAAATATTTAAGATCCAAAGGTAGCGACAGTCAATGTTGGTCACAAGTGTGTCATTTAACAACAGCAATGACACAGTGGCAAAGAACCTAGATCACAATGCTATTTTAAAAGAACAAAAATGTAAGAAATATATGTGATGCTATTCTGCATAAAAATTCCATGACAGAATTCAGATTTTACTTCTGGGGACAACAGTGTATATATTAGGAAATCAAAATTGCATTTTTAGCAAACTGTAACGTGCAAGGAAAGCCAGCAAACAGTAATTTGACAAATATCTAGTAAGTGGTGGAGAGTGAATCTCAAATCTCTGGATCAGGCAGGAATTGAAGATTTTTGAAGTAGTTCTACAACAGCAAAAGGCTACCTGAAGAGTCCATGCAATCTTCAACACTAATGGCTGAGAATTTCTGGCCAAGGATGTGGTGGTAGTTCTGCAAAAAGTTTACTGTTCCAAAAGGGGATTCGAAAGGAGCTTTCTCTGAAAAACCGAAGAAAATAAAAATGGTTTACAAGAAAAGAAATCAGACTGTTTGGAAGTAAAAACCTATTATAAAGCCAGACATACACTTGATAGGCCAGATGCAGATAGGCCAAAATATTTCCTTTTTGTGGCCTAGTCCAGCAAGTGAGGACAGGTGGACAAGTGCTGAAAAACCTGACACACTGTCTACAAGCACCACAAGATTCAACTCCTTTTGCAGGGTTTCATAGTCCTGGAAGTTGGCAAAAATCACTGCTACAAAAGTGACACAAAATCATTTATCTAGGGAACTACAAAACATAGTCATGGTAATTACGATAAAGTTAAGCGATATGAACTGTTTTAAGCACAATGAACAAGGTACCCAGACTCCCAATGATTTTAGGAGTAGCTCCATTCAACTAAATGGCATTTCTCAGGAAGTAAGATACTAATTAACAGGATTAGGGATGGCAGACCATCTAGTTAGCTTCCACAAGATCTAGGAGAAAGAATATTTCTTGCAGCAAATATCTGTGTATTTGTGAATGTATCATGTGATGGAGTCTGTAGCATATTATTTCTGCTCTACAAAATGACTAAATGACTATCAGCTGCTTTAGTATAAAATTACCTCTTAATTCTATTATCTAGTCACTGTTGGGTTCAGCATAGGATTCCAGAATGAAAACTGACCTCTTATGCAATTCATCCAGCTCATTAAGTAGTTGCTGGTTTGCTGAAGCAGGACGTTATTATCACCTTCATATGTGCAGTTTGGGTCATTGTCATTACGAATTTCACCTAGACGATTCACTTAAAAAGAACAAGTGCACATTTTAATATATTTCAGTGTATTAGTGAAGGGTAAGGTAATAATTATGCTGTGATAAAAATGTGAGAGATCTATGTAAGGCATCTGTTCCTGTATGTATAGCTATTCTTACCAAGAGATGAGCTTGTAAATTCATTGTTTAGCTTGAGAAACTGAATATCGTGGGAAGATTTTATAAAAGCGTGGATTCATTTTTGAAGGGCAATTTTCACCCAAAAAATTTGCATTTTTATTCCTGGAACCGAAACTGAATCACATATACTGTCTTATTCTGCCCAAATGCTGGTGTAGACACTGCACGGGTTTAGTTCTTCTTGTGGTGTCAGGTATAAAACGAAAAAAAAGGAGATGAGGAAAAAGCGCTTTCTAAAATTATCCCTAAAATCTAGATGCCGTGACCCAAAAAGAGTTGAGGTAGGCAAGAACATAAACATTCTCTCTCTGAGCAGGGTATAAAGTAGTCTGTAACTTACTGGCAAGGTAACCATGTCCTCCACAAGCTTCTCGGCACTCCTGGGCTGCCTGCTGAGCAGTCCAAGAAGACAGTGGTTTGCTGGCAGCAGATAAGGCATGAATCTCACGTCCCAAATCAGCCTTTGTGGAAAACAAGTTGCTAGTGAACAGTAACTTTTACACAATAAAGCGTACAGTAAGTTGCGAGCATACAAAGAAGTATGTTTCTGCCTTCTACAAAGCTCTGTTATGTATTGATGCTTTAAACCAATTAAATCCATAGCTACGTGTGCTGTTTAATAAAGAGGAAAAGGAGTTACTTATGTAAAATTTTTGACGATCTTTGTAACGGTAGTTATTTCTTTTTTTTGCCATCCTTGAAAGAAAACAGCCACATCTGAAGAATCTTAGGGACTGGGGTTCTTAGATGGCTCAGGAATAACTTCTGCCAAGTAATGGACACACGGGTACATCTTATCTCAAATGTACCAGTTGGCATTTGAATGGGAAAGTTCATTGCTTGCCTCTTTCTTCCTCCCCAAGACAGGGAGTCAGGTGGTTGGAGGTGGCATGTCCAAGAGAAAGCTTCTGCCCCCTCTATGATGTAAGCAATATACCTCTCTCCTCAGTCAACAAGTGGATATTTGTATTATTTTCTCCCTTATAAGGTCATTACTGAATTTTCAGCATCAATTTCAGAAAGAGCAGTGAAATTTAAATGTCCAAAAATATCTCCAAAGAATTAGAATGGTCTGCAGTTACACTAACACTATAACACTATTGCAGTTACACTAACACTATAACACTATAACACTATTGGCCTTCCTTTGGAAATGTGTCTGGAATTTCCATACTGGGAACTACAGAGTTTCTGGGGACACTGGGTCTACAGTACCAAAGCTTGTTTAAGAGCAATTCCCTGAGATTCTTGAAGACTCCTTGTAGGATAAAATGAATGCGCAAATGCTAAATTCTTAACCTTGTCAAACAATCACAGTATTTTTATTCTATTACAGTTAGCCTCTGAGAGCCACTGTTTTGCCTAAGATAGTTACTGAACTGGGTACCTCTAGACAAAAAAAGAATAGATAGAATCAAACAGATTCTTCCGTGGTTTGGGCGAAGAGGGAAAATTAAAATACCCATCCATCAGTACATGAATCTTTCATCTGTGGTAGTTTATCCAGAAAAGACTGAGTGTTTAAGTGAGATCGAAACAATTCATAGCCACTGGGTAGGCCCTAACAAACAGTCAGCATTGTTAAAATTAAAAAAGTATATATATTTTATATGTTATAAGAAATCTGCAACACTGCAGTTGCTTTGGCTGAGAATCAGTCCTTACATTGAGACAGATATATCAAACTATTTCCTATATAAAGAGGTAACTTCTCATGGTCTAACAGTGGCTAAGACACCCACCACTAACCAACAACTCAAAAGTATCAACTTTTTACTCTAAGAAGATTTTTCCTAATGCATGAGTATGAATTGCAAAATTGATCCAGACTCACAGAATCTGCATGGGAATTAAGAATAATATTTGAGAAAGCCTTTGACATATGTCTCCCGCAATACCATTTACAACAGCCATAAACTGAATTTGCATTATCATCATATACGTACGATGAACAACTCTACAAGGGAACATAGCCTTAAATTCCACTGAAATCAATACAGCTTTAATAACCCCATCAAAATTAATTTGGGCGCCTTTCTGATCTGTTTGTTTTCCCCACATTTCTGAGACACTGCTGTACCACTCTTTATTGTAAGATGATTCAGGACTTGTACGTATATCCTTCATTTAACAATTTCAAGTTTATTGCAATGAGAGCTCAGTTAACAGGAAACGTGTAAAAATCTCACCTGTCTCTGACTCCTTTGCTTCGTCAATAAGCCTGCATAAAATTCTACAAAGTTCTCAAATAGGGATTTGGAGAAATAATCTAACACATATGCAGCAGCTAGATAAGGAAGGAGGCGCCATTGCTGGAATGAAAAATAAATAAATGTGATTGCAAGTTGATATATATTTTTATGAGAGTGAGATGATAAATAGTAAAAGTTTCAAGAAAACAATTTTTTCCCAATAACTATCTTGTAATTTTGAGCCAACCCATTCCGTTTTTTTTGTTGACCAAATAGAGACACTCTGGTTTATTGTGATAACTTCACAATAAACCTTTACAAACATAATTAAGTATAACTACTTTATAAGTCAGGTATAGTTACACTATTCCAGTTCATGGATTTTATGAATTTGTGAGAAACATCCTGTTAAACCAGTGCAAGGGTTCACTGAAGCTTTTTGGGTAGAGGGCAGAAAAATGTATTTTTGACCTGTATTTATATAATCTCTGGCATGCCACGAGTCAGTCATGATTCATATGTTACTTCAGTACCAATAGCACAGAGGGTGTAACTTCCACTTGTTTTTTCATTGCTTAATGTACGTTATTGTTTGCTGCATTCTGTTAAAACAACAGGGCTGTGCAGTACAGAAAAAAGCATCTTTGCTGCTCCAAGTAGGTCAGATGGAAGCCCATGAAAGAAAAAGGAAGCCACTTGAGAGGAAGCTTTTGTGGTAGAGCAAGTAGAGAATGAGAGGTTCAGCAAGCAGAGGCTACAGAGTAAGCAGAAATCAAGAGACTCCTAAGAATAGTGGGAAGCAAACCCAGCCTAACCTCAGAAGAGGCAGAAAGAAGGCAGCTTTTGCTAAAGTTTATTGAAACCCATGAAAGCTGTGAAAGTTGCAGTATTAAGGGCAAGCCAGGAAAAAAGTATCCACTTTGCACAGACAAACTGGGCAGGTTTATTTTCAACACTTTTAAATATTAAGCATTGCATTCAGCAAATCTGAGGTTTCTCTATTTCCAAGTTTACTGTATATACTCTTCTACTTTTTCAGACCAAAAGTCCTTTTGGTGTTTTTCATCTGCTTACTCTATGGATAAAAATCAGTTATATCCCTCTCAAAATTAATGCTTTCTTAGGATCTAATCACAGTGCACGCCAATTTCTACATTTTTGAAGAATAAAGACTAAAAAAGGGAAAATGAGCAGAGCAGCAAAAGAGGCACTGACATTTTTAAAAAATGCTAGTCTCTACATCTGCAATAACTTCACGGGCACATAAAAAAGTCTTTCTCTGAAAAGGTTGCTGCTTTAAAAGACAAACATTTCCAGGTACTTCAAAGAAATATGAGTGTTTTGGGTTTTGGTATTCCAAGAACTTATCTCAAAAGCCTGACCATGCCAGGAGTAGTAGCAATGAGGCCTTCAGTTAGAATGAACTGCTGCAGCTGCACAGGATCTACACTTCAGACGAAACAATTTTACTAACTTTTTACTAACTTAAATTTTACTAGCTTTTAATCTGATTTTGTTTTAATTATACGACAGTCTCTACATTAGAATTCCAAACTTTTTACCTGTGTTTGGTATTCAAGAACAGGTATTTCTTCTTCATCAGTTGGTCCAAACTGATGGCGAGTTGCTGAGAAGCGAATGGCTATTGATAAGGCAAGCTTCAAATTGGTCACGGACATTGATGTAATCAGAACTCTGCCAGTGGACAAGGACCCAAGAGAAGCACTAAAACGATCTTTAACATCCTGAATGAATAAAAGGCACAGACTGAATGGTGAGGTTAACACTTCATTCACCTATCCTGTAAAGATACAACTCTGATAGCACAACCAAAAGTCCAGAGGGTTGGCCAATTTTATTTCTTTAGATATTCAGTTAAGGTGCCCAGGCAAGAGCCAGAGAAACTACTTTGGCACTGGTGGGGCAGCTTGAAAAATAATTAGGTAAAAACAAAAAGGTGAGTTTAGACATCTCTAAAAGGCCATTAAAAACCCAGCATTTTTGATTATGGAGCTATCTAAACTGGATAAGGGAAAAAAAAGACTGTGACTAATCAGTTGCCTCCTCAGGAGCTTAGCGAACTTTTATCTAAATCCTGAAACTATTTAAAAGTTGGATATTTGCATCTGCGCTACTGACTTTAAACTCTCTTTGTAACAAGCGGGCAAAATAGGCATTTCCCAGGCATGAATAACCTTGAATACTCATGTAAGGATGAAATGTATTGATTATTACAATTTAATGTGAAACTGTGCCAACAGCCTTATTTAAGTCAGGATATCTAGCGCTTCCCAACCCACAAGGCCCATGACCTATCTCTGCAACCTAATTGTACCTTTCTATATTTAGTGAACTATATTAATGAAATAGTTCTTGATCTTGACTCATACCTTGAAAGAGCTTGAGTATTTTCCCTCAGCTGTGACATCTCCAGCAAAATTCAGTATGTTTTCTTTAGGTATCCTGATATTATGAAACATGGCAAATCTGTTCAAACAGGTACACAAGGAATGTAAAGTTTATCTTGACACAGTTTTAAGTGTCTACATTAAGGAAAAAAGATCACAACAAAGATATGATTGCACATGGATTTCAGGTGTATCAGTGAACTGACAATAGTACCATCAAATCAGGTAAGTCATTTTAGGAGAGTATATATGGGAGAAGAAAAGCCTTCAGACACAGGCCAGTAGAGGAAATACAAGCTGGGAAGTGATTTGTTATCACTTTTAATTTCGGTCTGTTACTCAGAAATAAAGATGTTGCTTAAAAGAACAAAACAAACCCCTCATTGACTCTAGGGGACCATTTCAGTAGCTTTATATGTAAAGAAATAAAAGATTAATGGAAGGAAGAGCAATGTATTCTCTTTGAGGGAAAAGATAGTTTTCCGGGTAAAGTGACTCATTACAGACATTATACAGAGTCTATTTGACTTGGACACTTTTACCCACAGCCCAGAAACCTGAACTGAATGCTCAGTTTGCATGAGCTTAGGTAAGTTACTTAACTTGATATGTCAGTTATGTAAAAGTTTGGGAAGATGAACTATTGAAACTTCCTTCTCCTGCTTGGAACCAGACTGGACTATTCTGATTCCAAATAATTCACTACGGCAAATAATTCTGCTGAACCAAGTGGCCTGCTGGTGTACTGAAGCATTTCTCAGTCCAGTCTGGAGATTGTAAATGCTTTGGGATAGAAATATTATATTTTTTTTGTAATTCTAAAACATAGCTCTATGAGGCTCTTTCATTTTAGCATAATGCAGAAGAGGACATAGCTGAATTAGTGCACTGAGAGGGAAGTAAACGGAGTGTTTTCCTTTGCTTAAACTTAAACTAGGATTTCTGTTCCCTATAATGTGGCATCTTAAAAAGGAATGAGCCAGATAATCTTTTCTAAATTGTGGCATGCCAGCAGTAATAAAGAAGGAACCTGTTATAATAGGCAAAATGCCTTATGTATTCATACTCCTCAGGAAAAAAGTGTATAAACTGTTTCACCCAAATGGGCAATACAACTTGGCACAATACCAGTAATATCAGCTCTACTCAAGGATATCTCAGTATCTAATGGCATTTGAAAGCTGTATTTGTAATCAAAGCAAATTCCTTTTGTCTGCCAATACTGGCTGATCTATTTAATAATGCTCATGAGAGCCAGGTCTTTAACGTTAATAAATTACATAAGGGTTGCATTGCTACATGTGCTTTAAAATTATGAGTTGTTTCCAAGGAAACATATCTGCATATCGAATTTATTCAGCCTTAGAGATACAGAGTATTTTTGGATTTAGCCACAGAGAAAAGCATGTTATCCTAACCAGGAACTAGCTGCTTACTAGCCTTATTCATGCTAAGAAGTGCTATAGTGAGTGCCAGTTTCAGTGAGACAACATTACTTGGTGGCAGAAGCAAATTCGGAATTTCTAAAAATCTGAGAACCATCTTCATTAATATGTTTTTCAGATCATCTACAAAAAAAAGTTCATTCAAGAAAGATCTTCTGGTTAAATGCACTTTCTCTGCTCCCTACATACCAAATAAAACCCATCACAACCAAAAATACACATCAACTCCAACATTATTAAGCAGCAGTACACATGTTAGATAGAATTCAAGCTTCTTTAATTGTAACTTATTACTTTAGTTACAGGAGAGTGAGTGTGCATTTAGAGCCCTAGTTTAGCACCCTGTTTTGCTGGATACTGTACAACCCTAGAACCACAAGAAGGTGCTTGCTCCTAAGAGCTTACAATCCACGCATAAGGGAAGAAGATACGAACGTGTTCAAACAAATGGTGAGGCAGATGCTCACTATGGAAGAATACTTGCTTGGTATGAAAACTGCTAGTTACAGCATCTTGGCAGCTAACTATTGTCAATTTTTTTGTAAGCAATTATGGCAAACAAGAATTTTAAGAAGGAACTTGAGTGATGAAAGTAAGGTAGTTTCACAGATGTTAGCAAAGGGTCTCTCCAACAGGAAAACATGCATGGAAGAAAGCAATGAAATACCTTTTGAAAAAGCTATTGAATGGATTATAAACACCAGAATCATGATCCAGTTTAAAGGAGGAGCTGGCATAACAGAGAGATGATACTCTTTTGGGCACAGGTTATGAAGAACTTTCAAAGGGCTCCTGTTCGTGGGCCTTCTCTTTGCAAATACAGACTTGGAGTATAAGGCTTAGTCCTGTGTATGATGAATGGGAAGACTCGTGGTAGTCATGACAATGAACAAGACTGCAAATTGTCCTTTTTGTGTTTTACACTATAGGGATTAATTCAATTCATTCAGCAGAGCTGTGCAGTTGTGGAAAATTATTTATATTGATACATGCTCGCAGCTCTACAGCTCTTAAAAAGCAAATTCAAATCTACTAATATTTCACATTTAGGAAATTGAAGTCTACTAATACTGGATATGTTGCAGATGTGCACCAAAAGAAATAGCTACCAAAACAGCTATTGCAGTAGGCAATAGGCTTCAACCTATTCAGTGGAATAGGTTCAACTTCAACCTATTGCAGTAAAATCCCAAATAGTTAAACCTATCAGAAGTCTTTTGCAGGAAAGAGAGAATAATTTTGCAGCAGGTTCTGTTATAATCTTTCAGACAAGGATAATATAGCTACTTCTGTACCAGATAAAAGGTTATCTAGAATTATTTTGACAAAAATAAAACATATATAGCCATGTATTTCATAGGCAGTGCACCAGAATATTGAATTTCCAGTCATTTTATAATAATAATCTCCTTTCTTAGATGAAAATTAGTTTAAATAAAGTACACTGAGACAGTTTTTTGAGAGTTTAGATTTTGTCCACTACATTGTCCATTATAGATACATTATTTCCTCCTTTTTCTGTAAGCTGCTATCAAAATAAATAAACATAAAAATGGCACAAACTAAGAAGCAAAAAAGGGAGACAGAATTAGCAATTACAAGTCCCATAGAAAATTCCCATGAGTAAAGAAATAAGATATATTGTCTGTAAGCACTAGTAATGAAAATAAAAGCAGAAACTTACAGAACCTGGGAGTTAGATGACTTTGTGATATGACGGCCAACTCCTGTTAGGCTCTTACTCCAAGAACTTTTATGCTATTTGAAATCTTACTTTGTAATCATTAGACATACTGGCAAATTTGAACGTGATATTGGAACATATTAAATAATATGATTTAATGAAGTCAAAGATCACATTTCTAATGTTTATTAACCTAGAAAGCACAATGAATGGACATGAACCACATCTGTCAACACATTTAGGAGAAAATCCCCTTAAAGAAATGGAAGAAGAGTAGAAATATCTCACAATAATGGAACCATATATACTGTCATGGGGATATCATGTACCAGCAAGTCTAGAAAATGGCTAAGTTGCCCGTGGTGATGACATGACCATGGGTTTGAAAACTCCACTGCCTCTTCTGCATAGCAATTAGTGTGGCTGAGATGAAAACTTTTCTGCATTTAGATAAACAGCTGTCACTTTAAATATATACTGTATGATTCTTTCTACTGTGTTTGCCTCCAGCTGTGTGATTTTGGTCATGATAAATTCATAGGACCATAAATCTCAAGGTCAGAAAGAACTACCAGACCATCGAATCTGACATTCTGTAGGAAACGGTAGGTATTCCACAGTTCATTTGTAAAGCAAATTGCCCCAAGTCATTCTGTCTTGATTTGCAAATTGTACTTGGTCAGGAGACCCAGTACTTAACTGCAGTCCTCGGTAAAATTCATAGTTAAAAATGGAAAAGAAAACAACACGCCTTCTTTCTGGCTGTGGTTCCACAATGTTTTCTGTAAATCTGTCTTTCTATAAATAATGAATTCTCTGCTCTTTAAATTTCTGTCACTTACAACCCTTCATCAGTCTAGTGTACACGTATTTTCTAGCGAGCACGTGTACATCCCTATCTGATGGTGGACAAAGCCACACTCACAGAGTAACCTCAAGATTCTAGCAACAAGTAAAAACTACTGTACCTTTAGCAATGCCTAAGACATGATATTTTACATATAATATACAAAAGGAATGTGCATTTTTACAGCACCTAGCAAACAGGTAAAACAAATGTGTTACATTTCTACTGAGATTAGCTGAGCAGCGTGAAGCACTCTTCCAAAAGTAGCATTCTTGTTAGGGTTTTCTGGCCAGTAGTTTAGGGAACATTTCAAGCAAAGTTAATCCTATCGACTTTAAATCTCGCAGTAATAATTCATCTGGTGTGCAGTAACGTTGATAAAAAAGGAGCAGCTGGAAAAGCTACAAGCTCCTTTTGCCAGTACTAAATTAATAGGCTGTTACCTATGGTACACATAGCTCAAGCATGCTTTCAAACCCACTAAAATGCCTTTCCTGCCAGCTTTTGTTATTGACTATGTTAGAGATGGTGCAGTGACAGTTCCTTTAATCCTTCTAGCCAGAAGCAGAAAGCAGGTGAATGATATTGGAAGACTGGGAGTCAAGTGATCTCACAGATGTTTATGGGATACAGTAAATCAGGAAGAATAACACTTAAGAGGTTTGGTGAAAAACTTGTAGAAGAGAAAGAAAACAGCCACATATTCCAGACTGAAAACTCATAGAAAGGTTAGAGTTGAGAAGAGCTACAGAGAAGCTGGGAAAAACTATGCAAGGCAGTAGTTTAGGCCCAGTTTCTACAATCAAGGCACTAAAGTAAGAATCTAGCTCTGTAATAGTAATGCTCAATAGCTGCGATCAAACAACGTACCATTTTATAGCCTCCTAATCCTATCTTAATGGACTTCACGGAGACAAAGATGCACTCACCCTAAAGTTCTTATAGTCTAAGTGCCAGTCTTGCAATGACTTCTGGATGTGCAGATTTCTGCAATTGTTTAGAGCTGACAAGAGCTCCGCTGAGGAAAAGAAAAAGGATGTTTGAAGCTCACTGTAGATGTGGGGCCTTATTTCTGTGGGTGATGAAACAAGTGCATGACCAGATATGAATTCACCTTTCTTCTCCCTATGAGTACTGGTCAGTGTCAAGGCACTGCAATGAACTGGCCAGTTCTGAAGTACTTGTGAGCGACAAAAATGAGGAGGAATGAGGCAGTATTCTTTAGGAATGTGATCATGTCTTAGTCCTATGCACAGCATGGGTGCATTTGTACAATGCTTCACTGGCAGTAGAAACTAAGCGTTGGAAGGCAAAACAGGGAAATATCAATGATTCCCGGCAAAATTGCCATTTAGATTTAAATTGCAAATAAACAGGATGTATATTGCAAAATACTGGTTTAACTGTGCAAGCAGCACTGCTCACACTGATTGATAGCAGTAGATATACGTAAATTCAGGTATAGGCATTTTTAATATCTATTTTTATTTCATATTTGCTTCATTACTATTGCTCTTTATGCAACTGCTTGTAACTATGATTAGTTTTCAGACAGTTCCAATTCCCTAGTTGAGTCCACTATACAACTACACGAATGTCCTAGCACAAGGAAAAAGGCAGCATGCGGGAGAAACAACCAAAGGAACTGTGCATGAGATTTGAGCTTCATTACACAACTGCTTGTAAGATTGCACTCCAAGAGACTAATTAGGCTGCAACAATCTATTACAGCTCCTATCTTCCCAGTGAAATAACTGCAGCCACTGCAAAATCTAAATAAGAGTTAACAACGTAAATACTAGGAGACAAAAACCTTTTGAAGGACTAGATTTTCATTTGTTCTACACTTACACTGGGTAGCAGAAACCTAATTTATTATGGGCACTCTGGTATGATACTGAAATACTAACAAACAAACAATAAATAATATTTAAAAATAATCTACAAAGAATTGGAGGCTGTGTGATATATACCATTTTTGCAAATATGCAAGGAATTGCACTGAGGGCTTCCAGAACCTGCACTCTTTACTGGAGGGTTACTTACTGCTTTTTGGTCCAACATACTCTCCTTTTCCCATTTCCTCTTGCTTATTTTGTTTTGTTTTCAGTAACTAGAATACTGAATCTGGCTTCAATTATTTTGTTAGAGAAAGTACTGACTGTCTTAGCACATGTCATATGTATGGAGAGATCACACATGTTAACTGAATGTGAAAGGCTGTTAAACAGCTAAGAAAAAGCTTCAGTTTTCCAAAGTCTGTTACTGTAATTAAATACAGCTAACAGTTCGTCTTCCCCCAGAAAGATCCTTTTCTCTCCCACAAACAATTCAGTTAAAATAAACAGCTTTATCTTTGCCAGTAATGTCATCATTTCACTAGTTTCTCTTTTACGATAGGTTTTGTCTGTACAACAAAATCATCACTATCAGCAAATACATTTGAACCTGCGCAGAGTATATTTTATAAAGGCAGCTATTTAGTTAAGCACCACTTTAGAAACACAATTTTACCTGCTCTTCAAACTGTTTTCTATACAGATACAGCTGGGTGCCTTACTTCTCTGTGATTTCTGGAGTAGGGGAAGCAATAGTTTGCCACAAGTTCCAACTGGATATGAGCTAGAAACACTACTGATTCAGCGGCAAGCACTTGCTGATGTGCATTGCAGTCATGGGTAATTTTGCTAATGTTGTTATATTAACCAGGGTAAACAGGTGATTGCTGAAAAATCAAAGGGAAGAAACAGAAATTCATCTCAGCGTTTACCCAAGCTCTTGTCTTTGTTCCTCTCTTCTTATACCTGCTGTGCATATTACTGAAAAGCCTCCAGATCTCAAACGACAGGGTTTTTTTGGCAGCTGTTTTTTCCCCCCAACTACTTCCATTTTCAGAGTTCAGTGAACAGCATATTTCAAAGCATCCCAGACCACTAGCAACAGGTGGATATTTTCATATTATAAAAATTAAGATTGAAGCCCTGGCACCCTCTGGTGGCAGCCTGATTTTTTTGGTAACATAACAAAAAAACAGTCTAAGCCTACCATATGAAAAACTGGCGTTTTATTTTTATTTATGTATTTATTACAGAAAATGTGTGTGAATGGCACAGAGAAAGGAACATATTTTAAAATAATTTAAAGTGATTTTGTCTTTTTTTAATGGGTAGCTGAAATTTGGAAGATTTGCAAAAGCTAAGTGATTTTAGGACGTTCCAGTTATGAAGCTATGAGAATTATTTCAAAAGACAGATTTCCAAGGAGCAGACCAGGCAAATGGATTTACACTGCAAATATTCCCACCTTGCTTCTGAATTTCTTTCTCTTACTGAAAACATTACACTCTGCATTAGCAGGAAACTACCCTTCAGCCAAACAACCCAAGAGATTAATAGTTTTCAAAAATCAAAAGGGTTACAATCACCTACTTTGTTCTCTTACATACCATAAATCAGTTGCATTTTCCTAGGAATCTCTGGAATTTTTTCCCCATATCCTATACATGCATTCAGGAGCTTAACTGTGTGTATATATTGAAAAGTCTTAGCCAA